ACCTTTACGTAAATGCGGCGCTAGCCCCTCTTTCATCGCGCTGACCTTGGACGCGTCCTTGGAAGCGAGTATTCCAGCCTCGGAGCAGTGCTGTTCGAATACACTCCTAAATCTAGCGAAATGTTAACGTGGTCCTTGTTTGATGGAGTGCAGAGCAGTCTGCGCTTTGGACGGCGCGTCTTTATCAGTGAAGAGGTCCTCCAGGTTAGCCAAAAATTCCAGGATATTCTACTCTTTGGATTTCTTTTTCTCAATTATCCATGGGGCAACCCTTTTCTGAGCGTCGGGAGGTAAGGAGTGGGTAAAGACCCGGTAACAGAAAGCCTTCCCGTTGCCTAGGGACTTCCTGATATTGTCGTCTTCTGCAATCCCTTAGAGACTTATCTGGAACGTGGCAAAATCGGATGCGTTGCCGGACCACTTTGGCCACTTATCGAACATTTTTATCGGAAGGTGGCTGGACGGTGGTTACTCGAAAGTTTGTTTGAAATTTTCTTTAATTTCTGGTGTGCCCATTCGCTTTCTATGAGCTGATGTGCTTGGCGTTAGTACTCTTCCAAGCTGGTATAGTCAAATTGGACTATTGAAATACGACGGCTAGCAGGGGTTGGACAGATGATGCGTGTTGCTTAAGCGAGACGTCGCGCAACACGTAGTAAGAATGAGAGAATCTGAATATGTCACGACACGGGTCGTGATTTAGTCAATCAAACGAGGGAAAGGAGTCTATTCAGATTCTCTGTAAAAAGTGAAAGCTAAATAGAGAGAGATAACACGTTCTACATATATGCCAAATGCGCGCTAATACGCGAGGGATCGACATTAGTTGTGGACCCGTAACACTGGCATTTTTTTTTTTTTTGCATCAGATTTTAATTGCGTATGCAGCTATCTAGCTATGACACAATATCAAAGAAAAGTACAGAAAAGATGATTCAACGTAAAGGAAGAGCACTCATGCCTCGGATTTCATTTGCAAGTACCACTGCGAAGTTATGGTGGCTTTTTCTTCACCCCAAGTCAACCCTCATCCGTGAATACCCACCCAGGGGAACGTCTCAAAAACCCTGAGTTATCCAGACATGCCTCCATCATCTTTTAACTTTTCTCCGCGCGATATGTGATCTGATGTGTCTCCTTCCCAAGTGGAGTAGGTGCCCAGGCTACTCAAACCATACCGGAGAACACCACCAGGAGGCGGACCACAACACCTTCCATCTTTGGCTTGTTTTTATAGTGTCAGCTGCACTCTCGCAAGCGAAGTCTTGGCGCGCACAAAGCCCATTCGAAAAACTCCTCGCCAGAATTCGGAATCTCATGCCCTTCTAGGTTATATCCGTCCTTCGCATCATCTTGTCAACTTGTCCAGATCCCTCTCACATACATCCCAAAGAACTGTCTCCCAGATTTGTGCGCCACGCTTTGCTTCCTCCTTCGGGTATAAATATCGGCGTGGGCGTGTATTTGGTGACCAGCTGAGGCCAGAGAAGGTCAAAGAGTGGTGTGGTCATTGGAATGAGGATGTACTTGGTCGTACTTGTAGCCTCGATGAGACGAAGATAGGAGTCAAACTCGTTGGGAGCGAAATAACGATGTGGATGAGTAATTTGGATTTTTGCCTCGTGGGCCAACTTCTTTGATATTGCGAAATTTGACTGAACTTGGCTCTGGGAGAATATTTCACTCCCAGGTTCGTAGAGGACACCGCGTACAGGTGTTCAGTCTTGCCCTCCGTAACACTGGCATAATAACACGTATCTCGATTCACTCAAGTAATCGACATCTGCGGAAGTGTAGAACATGTCATTTTAACTCAGCATCAATCGAGGAACTCGATTAGAATGAGACGTATCTGCTTAGTCATATCAGAGTAGGAGAACTTAGTTTCACTTACACACTGAGATGTACCAGTTGGGTTAAACAACAATAACAACATAATTTTGCCATTTTCTCAATTGATCTATCAACTCTAATACTATTCCCTCTTCAGTGAAATGTCGCAAGAGTCTAATAAATCTTATCGCTCTTCCCAAATAACCCTGCCATTTTTACACCACACATTTATATCCTCGTATTTCCTAATAGTAGACAAGAAAAGATAGGTAATTGAAAGGATTACAAACTCTGCCAAAATCAAGCGTTTGTTCTAGCATAACGATACTGGTGATTTACCGACAATTCAAATTTTAGAAATGGTTGAGCTATGAAAGATTACTTTGATATGTAACTACGCCAAGAGCGCAAGACGACTGAATTTGGAGACTATGTGGCAAGATATTTCTCGAGTGTTTTGATCTAACGAGAGATCACTTCGTAAATAACCAAGCAGTTCTGCCTCAAGGATTACAAACTGACGCTATCATGCGAGAAAAGCTTCAGGGCTTGACGTGACATTCGAGAGCGCAATATGGCCTTTCTAAAACGTTCTCACAGGTTTAAGGGCGCAGTGGAAGATATTCACACTCCCTCGCAGTTTGTTGGAAATCGAGATAAAGAGTATTTTGGACTTTCGGGCCCTCCTTTTCGTCTAGATTCCTATCCGTCTAAACTGTTGGTAGTATTGCACAGGACCTAACCATTCCAGGGCCTTGGCACTCACATTGTTGGGAACTCTGCACATATAGCATTAGACGAGAAACAAATGGAGAACCTCACTAATCTCTACCTTTGTTGAAGCAGATTCAGCTTGTTCCAACACCGTCCTAACACCAGAGTGTAGCTATGGTGAAAGCTCTCAAAAAGTGAATACATCCTCTTCTACCACCCTGATCATACAGGGCTTTAGAGTCGTATGTTCATTGACGCCAACATCATAAGCTTTGACAAGAGTCTGCTCGCCTCGCGAGGATATCGAGCTGCTGCTCGTATTCATATTGCTAAAAACCATATCGAATAATTCAAGGTTGTAAATCAAATCGACCAAAGAGACCACAAGTCGCTGAAGCTCAGAAGCTATTTTGAGATTACTCTTCCTAAATGGAGGATATATTGTCGCTGACCCATGTTATCTAGATATACAGACATTTAATGATATTAGCCTATTATTCGGATATATGATATAGCTGCAATATCAGTTCAATTTAAACAAGGTTAAAATCTTTCTTGTATATTTATTCCAGAAAATACCTGCCGTGCACTCTCCTACCTAGTTTACACGTAAATATCTACTGTTAAAGCTATGTCGCAAAGTTGGAGTTTGAAGTCCTACACTTGCCAGGAGGGCCTCTACTCTAAATAAGTCCACGGCATTCTCTGCTATCCAAACGACATGAAGATACGTTTGAAAACCCTACGGCTTACGCTCTCTCTCCCTCGAGGCATTTCTAGCATTTCAACATGACATCCGATTTGTCTTTACGCACGAATGATGAAGCGACTTGAATAGAATGCTAGGAAGACAACGAGCACTTATGTATTGTACATACGAGCCTATGGTATCTAGCTGGCTAGCCTCTCTAAACACTCGAGAAAGTTAGCCACGTCTTGGGATCTGGTTCTTATTTCATTCTTGGGGGAGAGGCGGGGCTTGAACCCAGGGTTGTTTTCAAATTTTTCGGCTGCAAAGGGATAATATTGAAGATTGAAATGCTCCTCAAATTACGTGAAGGAATGAAGACAAATATATGGTGGTACTGTCTGATGAAAGCTATAAAGCTGCCATGAGTATCATTACAATTAGTTCTTTTATATTTTTTTGAATTCGATTTCAATGTCCTGATCTGGCGGCCTATGGGGCCATGCAGGTGTCTATTAAACTTTCTTATTTACATGGGAGGAAACCTTGCAGTAAAAAACCCCTTCGCTATCTGATTGGATTCTGCGCCATTATAGTCTTACCTCTAGGAAGTGCACTCACACTGTTATTGTCAGTGTGGATTCCGTTCTTGTCCTGTGTTACCTCCTTCTCTTCGCCTGATCGGCGCCTCGATTTCTCCGGTCATCCATAACTGCTCTGGCCATCCATCCTTTTGCATCCACCGTGCAATTATAGTCATATCGTTGATGTTATTTACCATAGCTTCATTGGATCGGGTCGTCGATTTTCGCAGCAGCTCGGCTCTCCTCTTTGTCCATCTTGGACAAGACGTCACTATATGCTTTATATTTTGGGACGGATATTCACATTGGCATCGTGGTTTTCCTACTCCCGGTGCATTCCTTCGGTATAAGTAAGCAGTAAGCCCAATGTGCTCGCTTCTTACTTGTGTGGCAATGCTACTCTGAGCCCTGCTATGGATTTGGTGGATTTGGATATGTGACTCTCTATATTTCACCATAAGTCTACCTGATTTCTTGTCGTTGTACAAATTTGCAGCTTTTCATTAGTTGCTTCATATCAGTTCTCAGTCTATTTCTGTTTATATAAACTATTGAATATCCTGATTTGGTGCCTTTAAGTCCATGCAGATATCTTCGGAAGATATGTTTTCTTTGTAGAATGACACATCTTGAGTTTTAGAACGTTCACCATTAAATTTTACTTTTAGATACCACTCGAGGTTAGTCTTAACAGCTTTTAACCTCTAGTGTACGTACCCACCATAGGGAAAAGCGCGAAACCCCCATGATTATCCGAGTATAATTTCGTCACCTCACAAATACTATATTATTACCAAAGAATGTTGTTTGTAGGTCTTACTGGAATTGAACCAGCTTTCTCCTGTCTCAAACGAGGTAGCCGTTAAAGCTACACAGAATCAATTTGTGAGAACGGCCAGAACGGTGTACCACTGCACCATCCAACCTGCTACGACAAAGTAAACTCGCAGAAGCAGCATCTATTACAAGCTTGCAGGCGGGGGAACTATCAGCTAATTACTTATAAGAGGGAAAGAAATTCACCTAAAGATAGGGGGAGCGCGTGTAGCTTTAGACTAGAAATAGTTATACAGATACACCATCCTCTACCACCATTCTCTATCCATCCCACATCACTATTGCACTTGGCCGTCTAGGCCCTGAGCGCACATGGTCCAGTGTTAATTGGGGTATTTGTGATTATGAAGTGCCTTGCTAATGAACTATCAAAGACGCCTCTTCGACGTCTCCCTGCGAAGATTATACACACCACTCTCATCTGGGGTTCTAGATGGCCTCCCTGTGCTCCTTCAAATAAGGATTACCGATACCGTATTCAAGCTCGAAATTTCTCAAAAAAATATGCTCGACCAAGAACAGCTCTCTTCTTTCCCGGTATGAAGCTATTGCCGTCCTCTCTACCACTTATCTGACGGGCTCTATCAGGTCAAGGCGTCCAGAAAGTTGGAATGCTGAAACCATGGCTAGCAGCATTTCCATCAACTGCTGGTCCTCTCGTAGAGGAGATCGATCATCTTATGGAATACAAGCTATCAAAAGTTATTGAAGAGGGTCCAAATTCGCTACTCACCGCCACGGTAAATGCACAACCCGCCATAATGGCCTGTTCAGTACTTATACTTCGAATACTTGAAATAGAGTTTGGCTTCAAGACAGTAGAAAGAGTTGATGTAGCCCTAGGACATTCTCTGGGTGAGTTCGCGGCACTTGTAGCTGCGGGTAATGTTCACTTTGAGGATTCCCTCTACTTGATCCGAAAGCGGGCGGCTGTTATGGCAGAGTGTTCGCAAAGGGCAAGAGCCGATCATGGTGGCGAATACGGCATGATTGCTCTCGTAACTGAGCCAGGGCATCTCACATCACTAATTGAGGCGATTCATGAATTTCTCGGCCATCACAGCACTGGATCAAAGTCTGAAAGCGCCGAAGACGTCCCTCCCATTCAACAAGTACTCATTGGCAACATAAATAGCAAAAATCAGATTGTCTTGAGTGGGAATATTGAGAGAATTAAGACATTATTGACCCATGTCAGACAATTCGGGGGTCACGATCCAAGAGCCGTGAGACTTAATAGTGATTGTCCATTTCACAGCTCTCTAATGATTCCGGCAAAGATTTCCATGAAAAAAATGTTGGAGGGAAAGAGCCGGGTCAAGGGCAGAGAGGATAAAGCTATAGTGACGTTTCCAGGCGTCATGGACTGTATCAGTAATGTTAGCGCTAGACCGTTCGAAAGTAAGGAAAATCTTAAAGATTTATGGGCGCGTTCGTGCGTGGAAACAGTAAGATGGTGGGACAGTATCAAATACTTGGATCAGGAACAAGGTGTACGGCGATGGATCGGAATTGGGCCCGGCAAAGTGGGCAGGAACCTTGTAGGAAAAGAGGTCGGTATGCGAGGAAGAGATGTAGTGAAAGGAGGGGGTGTATGGGCAATTACGGATCCTAAAGAATGCGAGGAAGTTCTCAAGGCGTTGGACGAGACTGAAATGTCGGCAGACGATGTATAACAGGGTTGGGTAAAATTTGGCTTGGGAAAGAATGTAACAAGATCTGAAACTTTGACGGGAGTACGATGGCTTTTGACGCTAGTAGATAGTTTATATGGTACCCAAAAAGTCTATTCAATACCATCAGGCCTATCTCCAGCCAAATACCAAGGGTGTTACTGTAGGTTGGAAGATTGTTGAAAATTTTAGGTTCTTCCGCCCCATGGAACAAGTATTGTGAGTTCAATTTTGGACGAATGAGACTCCATTTCCCATTTCCAATACACAATTCAAATAGAAATTTGCAGTATAGATCTCGCACAACTCAAGATCTAACTATTCTCCCGGTACCCTCCACCCGAGGTCGTGCGCGTGGATATTCATCTGTCGATCATAAGCTAACAGAAATGTATGGTTCAGCACTAGCTTTTGTAATGCAAGCCATCTATTTTTATCAATTTGGTGCGTTCAGCTACTCAGCTATTACACATGATTCGTGCTATGTGTACATGTTGCATGACTCTTTTGACGCTAGGGACACCCAGAATCTGGCTTTCATTTGCAAACTACACTATGAGATATGTTTGCTTACACAAACAGTCGACCCCCCTCCGTAAGTACTCACTCAAGGGAAGTTTCAAAACTTTTGACTATCCGGCATGCCATTGCCGACCATGCATACCGGCGCCGCGAGAAATGTGGTTTTGTTTTGCCGGATTTGAACCAGCGATCTACTGTCTCAAGTGGGATATGTGTCCAAGCTATCCAGACTTAACTTGGCAGACCGGCCAAGACGATGTACCACCGCACCATCCAACCATGGCGGTGTAGATGGCGATGCCTCCACTGAATCTAATCCATTTCTCGATGGCTTCCGCTGTGCCCACAATGGCTGTCGTGTTCTACATTTAGATGGTGCCAAGGGATCGACACAACTGATTAGGGGCATGGGAACTCGGAGCAGCCGCGGGGCCTGATACGGCGACGGGCTTAACCTTGAAGTCTCTTGATTCACTGAACCATCTATCTAGTTGGCGCACGTTACTTGTCTATGATTGTGATAGCGCCAGCTTCACTACATTGCGCTGCCAGCACTCCGGGAATCTGAGTAGTGTCGCCCTCAAAGTCAGCTGCACGGTCGACGCCGAGGTCATCGTAGCTTGCACACGAGAGGCACTGCAGACACGAGCCTGCGCAGCTTTTGATGAAAATGACCGCCATTCCATCCATAGCTTGCCTAGCTGTCATCGGCAAAGATGTGAGTCCCAACTGCGCGCCATTGCAAGCCTCTGATGATAACCACCTTGCGTGTGCAGAACAATCCGCTCCACGTCACCATTTTTCCATCCACTGCCCAGCCTACGCCCATTCTCACGCCCCTCCAAACCTCCTTCCTCCTCTCCTCTACCCTCGACGTCTTCCACGCGCGCTCCGTCGCGAATCATACAACGGGAGTCGGACTCTCGGGAGACTACGGGCTCCTACATGCTATTGATGAGCGATTGGCAGCCTACGGCTACGAGACGAATACCGCCGTACGATTCGTCGCCATAGTCGACTTTCGCGGCCGCTTGATCAGCCCAGACCAGCAGACTGGAGCCGGCACTGACGGCCGTGCCGGAGGCATGGGAATGAGAGATGGCGAGCTCAAGGCAGTCTTCAGGTCAATGCAAAGCGCATACATTCGACTTCTGCAGAACCCATTCTATGATCCTGATGAACACGTCGTGAAGGAAGGAAGAGGCGGTAAAAGAATAACCAGTCGTCGATTCATCGAGGATATTCGCAGGATTGGCGAGCAATGGATCCCAGAGAGCATGGCTGTCTAAGTTCAAGTGTTGATGCGCGTGGCTACTAAAGCAGACAATTGGGATGCGGGTCACAGGTTACGTTTTCCCTGGAGTTCATAATTCTCAGAGTAGATACAAAAGTACTTCAATTTATTAATTTATGTCTTTTTTGTGTCAATAACTATATTGGACAAGCTATTTAGAGATATCAAATCTTTTACATTCTCCATTGGGCTTTCCTTAAATGAGTAGTGGGTTTCCCAACACTGGCTCCCCAAGGGGTTTAGTATTTTAATAAAAGCATATAATGGCGTCTATTACTCTAACAGAGTTACTAGATATAGGTCATGGCTTCAAGATCGCGCAGGCCCACTCTCTCATAATGTGGTTATATAACTGATGAATAAAGCACCATTGATGTCTCTAGAACTCGCTTGACACCATTCTGTATTAAACTGTCAGAAGCCTTTTGTAGATTTTTAATCAATCATAACCAATACTTCTTTTGAGAGGTCACAGCATCAAGGGCAGCTTCTATGACAAGTGCTTCCAGCCTATTATCGATAACTAAGGTGGCTACATAGAGAAACCAAGCGCTGAGAAACTTTTAGCTAAAGGAATCGCTTAGACTCCTGAAATCTCTTCATCTGCTTATTTTTAGAATCTCGATTGCTATATATGAAACATCAAAAATACTTTTCCTCGAACCTCCTGCACCATCAAATCTGCTAAGATTATTGAAAGAATACCTATCCACTTCCTCGATCCTGCAAGGCTACTTAGACCGTTAATCCAAAATATGAAGAGTATAAATAGTCAAATGGGATAAGAAACAATACTATAGTAATGTTCATTTATTAAGATAACATATGATCAAATATCAAGTAGCGTGCCGAGATGCTGTTTCGGCTATGCAATTACCAACTACGACTCAGTCGCTGTGTATGATGCTACATATTCAGCAGAAAGGCTAGAGGCAGATGAAATAGTATTCTTGATCCATAAAAACCTAGATGGCACAGATATACTAAGACAGCTATTCAAGTGAAAAGACTTAAATAATACTTAAGTAGAACAGCGAGCAGATAACTTAAATAACCCGCTGAAAATTACAAGCATCGTATTAAGACTTAGGGTACATAATCTTACCAAGTTCATTTTATTCATGCAAATCTTGATCCGATAAAATTACCGTGTAATTTTGATCTCTGTCGAATTGGAAGGGTTCAGCCCAAGTCGTAAGCATCACGTGAAGTTAGACAAAAGTATCCTGAGCGAGCATTACAAAGCCTTCTGTCTTGCGATAAGTTGACACTATCCGATTCGATCTAACTTAGTTGCTGTACTATAATCAATCTGCTGCACTAAAACTTAACGATTTCACTATATTTATAGTGATATCATACGATTATATATTTCGTGTTCGTGACCAGAAGACATGATCGTCATTTTTTACATTTAGTTTTACATGAACCTTTAGTCGTTAACATATCCTCCTCGTTTTTCAGGCCTTGAAGACCGGCTGGTTTATCTAGTTCGATAAAGTCCCCGATCATGACGTCGGAGCCCGTAAATCGTACGTCTGTTTGAGTTGTGCCAAGCGGATTGGAGCGCTCCCATCTTCGTACTTCAGCCGGGAGAGGTCGCCACCAATTGGGATCAGACCTTGCATGCCATCTCGAGCCACACATCTCCCATAATCGACTCCGAGCACGCTTATAGATAAAGCGCTCATCTTCACCCGTGAATGCGCTCACCCGCCCGAAATCCACTTGATGATTGATTACATGTCCCTTTTCAATTCTCTGGCTGGATGCGGCGCTTTCTGTTTGTTCAAAACTCGACTCAGGATTGTCGGTGTAGGCAGAGATATTAGGTCTAAAGGGTGAAGTTTTGTCTTGGTAGATTTCAGAAATAGTCTCAAGGTAAACTGCGTCGCCCATATCATTTTCCCCGTGTTCTGAGGCTTTCAAAGCTGGTGTGGAAATTTCGGGAAAAAAGATATCATCTGGCCCAGCCTCGGCACGCAGAATAAGCTTACAACGAGCCTCATATAAGGCATCAAGGAGAGTTATGAGACGTCTTGCTTCATTTTTCTGGATCAAGGTCATGATGGGAACTTCATCGAGAATAAATGTGTGAAAATTCGAGGCTAGTGTAATATAATCTGCTGGACCAAGGAATCCCTGGCATAGTTCAGAAAAAAGCCAGTAAGCAACTTTATCGGAATGGCGGGGAACGATAACTTCTCTAGCATAAACTAACAGTTTTTTTGGTATCCATTTGCTCGGATTTGTGGGGTTAGAAGATAAAACTGACTTGATAACAGAATCCCAAGCTGCGTCGTTTTCAACAGACCTCACAAAGTACATCTCAGGAAGCCTTGGACAATAATCTCCAGGTTCATCATTCGTCAAGTTGACATTCGCCGCATTTTTAGAAATTTTCTCTGGGTCAGAGGTGGACCTTCTTGGTAGATGATCGGTTTCTACTTTAGGTTTTATTTCTTTATAGTCTCTTCTTCTCCAATCCCGTTCTCCCTCCATATTCCATATCTCGCACCTGGCTTTGAGTACTTCTACGAAGCCTGCGTACTCATTATTTGATGGACTTGTATCGAAGGTATGTTTTCTTTCCAAGCCAAGCGTGCTTCCGACCATACTACGCTTCGGTAGCTTGGCAAAGTCTAGGCCACTAGCCTTTGACAGTTCTTCGGGCATTCGATTGGAGGTTGCAATGAGAACACCCCCTAGTTGGAAGAAAACTGTCATAAGTTGACTCAAAATTTTGCTGGCTGCCTTGTCAGGAAGCTGAAATTCATCAAAAAATATTATAGGCGACTTCTCGATCAGTTCTTTTGCTAACCACAAAATTGGATATTCCGAAACACTATCTTCTACACTTGCTTCTTGACGCATACGACGATAATCTTCTAGTTGTGCTAAGGTTTCTAACATAAAGGTGTTGAAGTGCCATTTTTTCTTCTTTTCATTTGGAAGACCGTCAGCCAGTATGTCGACTAACATTGACTTCCCACTTCCTACTTCACCGTGTACAAGTAGTCCTTGTGGTGAGGAAAGACTTATAGCCGATTCGTAGCTTGTGAGCACACGGGTCAGGGCAAGTGATTCTCGGCGCACATTCTTGGAAAATAGGCGGGCGAATAAGGGATTCTGTCTCAGTGGGTGTCCTAAAGCTGCTACATGAGTGTTTTCATCATTTTGCGTGGGATTTCTAACTAGCCGGCTTAGATCCTTCAGCCGCTGAGAGTATTCAAGGTGCGGAGAGTAGTCAATGAGGCGGAAATAGAGATTTTGAAGATGAATAGCAAGTCTATACTGCCTATAGAGTTAGAATATCTACAGTCTAACGAAGTTGCAGTCTAGTTCCAAAAGGCAAGCATCGAACGAATCCAGGCAGCGTAAACGTATGAAGGGAACACATTTGAGTACCTGAGATGGATCGGGCTCTATTCGTTTGGTGGCCAGCAACGATCTGTATATAGTTAATGGATTGGTGATGGCGGGAACATAACTTGACACTGGGAGAGGCATTGTGATTGAACAACTTTCCCTGCTAGTGAGAAATGACATCGTTACAATTCTTATGCTCCAACCATTATGATCACGTGCTAATAGCGGCAGCTTCTCTATAGATTCCCCCAGCTAAGCTGATTATTCGGTTGCACCATCGCGCGCTCGGAACAAAATTCACGCATTGGCACAACACACATGAATCATCAACGAACTCCACAGGCATCACCAACACCCTCATTGTTCACCAAAGTGACTATATTGCATTCCACTTACGACATCTTACTGTCACCTACATTTCTCAATCACCTATGCCGCCCCAGTCCTCCGCAGAGGCTGGCTCCTGGCCACCTCTCCCCACCCAACACGCGACGCGCCAGGACGTCGAAATGGATCTCAACGATCCACAATACACAATACCGCCTACACCACACAACACCACACCAGACTCAGTCTGCTGCGCGAGTCAACAGCACTCTTCAAACCCGAGCCCAAACCCCACGGCCGTCAACATGACCAACTTTCTCGCCGAACAAGCGAGAGCTTTCCAGGAACGTTTTGCGGAAGCAGAGCGCATCGTCAGCGGGTACTGCAACCTGCTCGAATCGACAACAGACGAAGAGTTCCGACAAGCCATCGAACTCACCGGCTTGGCTCTTCAAAGCCGGATCACAGAAATTCTGCGGGGCAATTCAGCCACCCCCAAAGCCACAGCACCAGCTCAAGCTGCAAGTGGCCACATAATCAAACCTCGCCTCGAGACAGCTAAAGAGTCGAGGAAGAAGACTATTGCGAGCGTCGTGCGTCCTGTACAGATCCTCGCCAGGGAAAACACGAGACTAGGAGCAGCCACACCTCCCGCTGCTTCTGCGACACCAATCCCTACCCATGGGACAGAACAAACCACCAACCAGACTCCCGAGAGATCCTGGACAGAGGTGGTGCGTAAAAAGGCTAAGCCAGCAACCACAGCTGCCACAAAAACAACCACTGGCCACACGCCCACATCGAAACCCAAGGCATCAGCAGTGATGCAGGAAAAAGCTGACGAGCACGTATTCTTACGGCTCAAACCCGATCACCCGTGGAGACGCATTTCTCCACATTTCATAAAAATAAGCCTGGCTAGTAAACTAAGCCTGGCTAACTCATCGATCAGACAAGTCACAGTCGTGAACTCTGGATTTGCCATACAAGCTGATGGGGAAGGAGCAAGAAGCGCGCTACTGACAGGAGCGAATACCCTTGACAGCTCTGAAATGAAGTTGGAAGCCGCGTCCAATTGGATATCAGTGCTTGCACCCAATATTCCAGATAGGTTATATACCCTCGAGGGACCAGTGCCAGTCACGCCAGAAATGGTGATCGAAGAAGCCACCCTCAAGACCGGCGTCAGACCAACATCTGCTTGCGCTTTTGCGACTAGCATGGCAAGGCCATCAACAGACTGGGTGCTACATTATGCGACGGGGAAACCAAAGCTTGGTGAACGACTATTTGAAGAAAGTGGTCGGCTGCACGAACTCCAGCGCAAGCCAAAAATTGCTCAATGCAACCGATGTTGGGGACACCACCCTACAAAGATCTGCTCGCGAGCAGAACGCTGTTCACGATGCGGCTCTGTCGAGCATAAGGCCGCCGATTGCAAACAGGCTATCCCGAGATGCATTAACTGCCATGGACCACACTCTGCCGTCGAGCCTAACTGCATGGCTAGGCCGACGCGGGCTGGTGGCAAAACAGTATAGCGCACAAGAGACCAGCTGGCGGTAATTCGCGAACAAGGTCAAAAGGAACGGAACGCTTCGATCAGAGAGAAGGAAGCAAAGCAGAAAGCCACCGAGGCTACTGCCGAAAACGAAAATACAAACGTTGCTCAATGCCCTTAAGGGACCACAACCCAACCGAGCTTCAACAAACGGCAACAGCAATATCTTTCCTCTGTGCTAACTTGGGCAGAGGAGACCCCGCTACGGACATCATCCTGCAATCCGCTTGGGATTCAGGAACCGGTGTCCTACTTATCCAGGAACCCTGGAACTAACGCAAGGACGGCCTCTGGCTCACCAAGTCGCATCCCGGATTCGATAGGCATTTGCCCCCACATGCCGCTGCCAACTCTTCAAGGCCACGCTCCCTCATCTACATGCGAAAGGGGATCAACTGCCAACAGCAAGCAATCTGCGAAGCATCACCAGATCTTACCGCAGTAACGGCAGAAGGAGTCACATTTGTCTCCGTCTACCGCGCTCCTGGAGCAGACATTTTGCCGCTGCTATCATGGGCTCCATCTGGGCCTACAGTTATTAGCGGAGACTTCAATGCTCTTCACACCGACTGGCAGCCAATGGCTACTAGGCTACACGGTGACGGCCAGGTGCTCACCGAGTGGATGTTCGAGCACGGCATGGACCTATCTTCCATACCGGGCGTCCCGACACACGACTTTGGAAACACACTCGACCTTGTCTGGTCTAACGCTGGTGCCCTCGCAGATATTTCGATAGAGCTTGACTCGACATCGGATCACAGAACTCTTGCGGGAGACGTTCCCCGTCCAAACTCGAAAGCTAGAGCTGTAATCAAAACTGGTCAACCGTTCCGAGTGACAGACGACGCCCTGGAAGACTTTGCCAAGGTACTTTGTAGATGGGCTCATGGAATATGGCTACAGCCAATGGACTCAATAAGCGCGGTAGACAACCTCACTGATAAGCTGGCCCAAACCATTAGCGATGGAATTAGGGCTACCGGAAGACGCGGGAGTGCGAAGAAGGGTAGGACGGCACCTTGGTGGACGATAGAGTGCGCACAAGCCAAACGCGAATACAGGATATTCAGGGACGAAGAGAGCAGAAGGGATTTCCGTCGCATAGTCAGAAGTGCGAAACGCCAGTACTGACGGCGGAAGTTCTCCGAAGCCACAACTGACGTCGACATGTATCGGATGGCACGTTGGGCAAAGCCGCATTCTACATCTGCTACTCCACCACTCCAAACTCCGGATGGTTTTGTCTCGAATCCAGGAAAGCGTGCACTTCTATTGCGCGATCTCCTTCTCGGCCGGTTCACCAGCCAAAACGACGTGGACATCAAACACCTCGAGCAAGGACGCGGAAACCTTCCATGGGTCTCAAGCGTCACAGACGAAGAAGCCAAATGGGTAACAACGGCCTGCCAGAATAAAGCCCCTGGAGCAGACGCAATTTCTGTTCGTCTTCTTAGGACAGCCTGGCCGTCAATTGGACAAGCAGTGAGAGTACTCTTTGAGGGCTCACTTCGACTAAACCACTTCCCGAAGGCATTCAAGCTAGCGGAAGTAATTCTTCTCCCCAAGCCTGGCCGAAATCTCAGTATAGCTAAAGGATGGAGACCCATCGCACTACTCTTCTCTCTCGGCAAAGGTCTTGAGAGACTAGTCGCAAGGCGTATGGCTTACACCGCCATTTCGTATAAGGCTGTGCCGTAGCAGCTTTTTGGTGCACTCTCCGGCAGATCCGCTAACGACCTTGTCTCATGCGTTATCCACGATGTGGAGCATGCAATGAAGAGGAGGAAGAAAGCAGTTCTTCTCACGCTGGACGTACAGAGTGCATTTGATGCTGTACTCCACGTACGACTGCTGAAATGAATGAATAAAGTTGAGTGGCCGAAAGCAGCTATCACTTGGATAAAGTCTTTCCCGGACAAACGATCTGCCCGCGTCAGACACGAGGAAGGAGTAACAGACCCAATTCACCTAGAATGCGGGCTGCCACAAGGATCGCCTTTATCCCCAATTCTCTTCCTCCTTTACATGGCCGAAGTCGTGGGGGGCAGTAGTTGGAGATTTGGCTATGCAGATGATGTTGCTATCCTCGGCATTGGCTCAACTACGAACGAAGCAGCAGTAGCTGTCCAGCGAGAAGTCGATGCAGTCCTAGGGTGGGCTGCTGAAAATGCCGTCTCCTTCGACCCAGATAAGGGCGAAGTAGTCTACTTCGTCGGCTCCAGATCCAGGGCTCACGATCTTCCGGCTATAAGGGTAGGCACTCGCGATGTACAAGCATCCGACGATATCCGATGGCTCGGAGTACACCTTGATCGCGGTCTAACCTTCGAAAGCCACGTCGCAAAGTGGACCAGCAAAGCAATGCGGCTAGTGCAACACTTTCGGCGACTCACTTAGTCTACTCAGGGACCAAGACCCGACTTACTAACCACAGTGATCCGCACGGTAGTCCTGCCAATCGCGATTCACGCAGCGGAATCCTGGTACCCGGGGCTAACCAGGGAAATATATCGGGGTGTCGCGCGAAATTCATGTAAGAGACAGTGCAAAGTTATTGACCAAACTTCTGCCTTAGGAATTCGCGTGGCTCTACCAACCTGGCGCACCATGCCCATCGCAGCCCTGAGAAGGGAGACTGGCATTCCACCAGCACACATTCTGCTCGAGGAACGCAGACTTAAGACTGCTGCACGAATCCGAAGACTAGATGAGTACCATCCGCTTCGACTTTGGGCCACGTAAAGCACAGACAGTGCTCGTCACCGACTCGGACTAAAGACATGCAACAAAACCAGACTTGGTCTGGATAGAGTTCATGATTCGAGGGTCCAGAGGATGTATCGACTTCTACCAGAGGCTGAACTCCCGACACCGCTTCGACCTCCGGTCCCCCCTCAGCCAATTCCCTGCTGGACAAGAAAGAAAGAGGCTGCCAAGTTCATAAGAGAGTGGCTACCGACACTCCCACCCGACTATCCCTGCGTTTACAGTGATGGTTCTGGGGCTTCAACCGACAGAGTGTCATGGGCCTTTGTGACCTTTATCAGTGGCACAGGTACGACAATCGAGCAAAGCGGCTAGGGCAAAATTACCAATGCGGAGGTCTACGACGCAGAGGTTCATGGAGCTTTGGCCGCTATAGAAGCAATTACTGCCAGTAATTGAGATCGAGGACGCAGCGCCATCTACATCCTGCTCGATAAATCTGCGGCTGTTCAGGCTTTACTGACGGGAACAACAGGCTCATCAT